TTGGAAGATGCTTCTAACAATTTCTTTGTTTATGAATCCATTATTGTGAAGTAAATCAATTATCTTGAATACATACTTCCAAGCTGGAACACCTCCAAAAGAGGGTGGGCCATATTTCTCTATAAGTTTAAAATGTTTGTTGTAGTAAAGCAGAAAATGTTTCATTTCATTCAAAACTGACTCCCCAAGATCTTCCCACATTTTATCTGCATCAAGGCCTACCTGGACACCTGTTTGAATTTTTTGGTTCCATTTCTGGACTATAATATCTTCCATGTGGTTTGAGAATAAGGCATCAATTATGCTAGATTTTAATCTTGAATCAAGTTTTCCCAACTCTGCAAGCTTCCATTGCTTCAAAAGAGATATCTTGCTTTTGACTTTTTGAAGATCGATAGATAGGAGAATTTGTTCAGAATTGTGAAAGGGGTGATCTTTAATCCAGTCCAATTGCTTCTGGAGTTTTGAATGAAGTTCAAAAAACTCCTTTGAATCTTTATTCATTTGGACCACATTTCCTACACATACAGATTGTCAAGTTTAAAGCTAGTCAAATCATTTCAGACAAAAAAATAGCTGACTTCTATTTCCTTCCCAATTCTTCATCATTTCAACACCTGCTGACTTTCCTATGCTCAGAGTATCTGGTTTCCTCCTAGGAGTTGATTCTTTAGCCAATTCAGGGGAGGCAAGTGCTGCGCACATTTCCAGGGGTCAACATATAGGGTATGAGTGGCAAGTAGACGAGCAATAAGTATGTAAAATTCCAATCAGTGAGTCTGAATCATGTATTCTTTGAGAAAAACATATGAATGTACCACAGAAAGGGGAACAACTTGTCTGAACCTCAGTTGGTTTGGGTAGTGGGCATGGGAAGTCGACAGTAAGCAATTGGGATTAGGCTGACAAGGGCGATTCGATAGCACATTGTGGGATCGGGAGGAATGAAGAACGAAACCAGAACTTCGGATGGGGTTCAGGGGAGGGAGGTGGCCTTGGGGCTCGGTGCTGAAAGATTACCTGCCCCATCTTCATAGAATAACGTCCCGAGCTGCTACAGTCATGCCCATCTAATTTCCTATCTAAATTTAACATTGCGGTCGATCCAAACATGAACACATGGTCTGTATTGCACCTCATACACCCCGGGCAAGATGGGGCCATGTTATTAATCAGGCTGCCATGTCCTGATTCCTGAATCAAAAATGACCTCAATTCCGCAGGTAGAGGCAAAGCGACTGTGGAATGGACGACGTGTTTTGCTTTCAGGACATGGTACCCTGATTACATAACATGGCCCCATCTTGCCCGGGGTGATAGTGCGTTTCCAGACGTTTCCAACCGAGACACTGCATACATAGACAGCTTTCCCAACTCGTCTCCGGACGGACCTGTCACCGGAATCCGGAGCCAGCTGCCCGAGTCAGTCCTGACTTAACTAAGCCTCCCGGAACGGGGGTGCAGAGCACCCCGATGCGGAGCATCTCCCATTCCCAATGGGAGGCTTATGAGCTATCGCTGCTTGGCATCGTGAGGTCTTCAAAAATTTTGTGGCTTTTGTCACCAAAATTCATGGAACACAACATTGCTCATCACTCACACATCATGAGACTTTGTCATCAAGACAGGGAGATGGGTGAGCATCATGTCTTCAATGTGCCTTGAAAAGAATGAGGATTACACATGATCCCGAGCTTCCTCCTGGCTCAGCAGTTCCAGAGGCCCTTTGATTAGAAGTATGGGATATGCTCTTGATCTTGATACACATTGGCTGTATCAAAAGCCTTGGCCGCCACATTTGGTCCCATCTTGATAATCTGTAAGTGCTGAGGGGGTGGTGACCAAATACTTGAAGAATTTTTAAGTCGGACATCCTTTGTGGTCGTAGTCGCTTTTGACCTTACGGCTTGCCAATTTCACCGACTCATTTGGATCTACTCGTCAGAAACATCTCAGCAACATCTCGGCCTCCGTGGTAGCCTTGACCGAGACCAGTGTTGAATCAACAGCCGACTCTGCCCAATAGCGCCGTCGGTAGGCTAAATCCAAGTTGTCAGATTGTAAGAAGTGCAGCAAGAATGACTTTGGTGTCATCTTGCAAGGTAACGATTGGAGCAATTCACAAACCGTGATCGCTTTGGCCTCCATAGTATGAGAGCTCAGTAGTGCCGGGAATTCAGCTGTTGACATAGGCAATGGGACAAATGGGATGATCTACATGCTTATTGAGGCATGAAATCAATCATCCCAAGCGATTCAAACAACGCTTACGGATTATCTAACAGAATCTCTAACCTTTCCTCATTTTAATGTGTATGTACTATGTTTCATCATACAGTTTCATACAAAAGATGGTGTGGTGTTCGTTGGAATACGTTTCAGAAATACAGAATTGGATGAAGGTCAAACCAACCTCAATCCTAAACTTCATGGCCAAATGACGGGGAAATGCGACAAGCAGTCAACTTGTGTTGACCATGGAAAGAACCGGAAAAATCCCCTCTTCATTCTAGTCCTGAGGGCAGAAACCCAGTGTCTGAGGAAGACAGTTGAATCACAGGGGGGAAAGTGCTACCACTGAAAATGGCTAAAGCCCCCAGGCCAAATGTGACACATGACCTGCAAGTCCCTCCTTCGGAGGCTCGCTTCGCGAGGGGCGCTTTGCGCCAGCCTGGCTTTACCAGGCCCTCCGATCGAGGGGCTTGTGTTAAGTCAGAGTCAGTCTGATAGAATTTTCGAAGGTATCTTGCAACAGTGCTTTATCACCATGTCTTAATCAGCCTCCTACCTGTAAGCTGCCAAAGAAGAAGCTATGCATTCTATGGGAGCAATTCTATTGAATCACTTGAAAATGAAGAGGAAAATGAAATTAAATTTGAAAAATATTCCAAAAAAGTCTTGAATACAATTTGCACTGATAAAACCAAATGGCTGTTTAGCTCAGTTTCACATCTAAATGTAGTTGTAGTGCTTGTTGGGGGTATCATTGCATGATAGTTCATTATTTTTCCAGGACAGGGAGAATCAAGATTGTTGGGAGGATGCAGACATGCACCACATTGATGCCAATCATGCAAAGGCAGGAAATCCTGGCCACCTTGTTAAAGATTGCCTGGGTACATGGTGTGTTACCAAGCATGCGATAAAATAATTAAGGACTCAGAAAGCAGTGAAGAGTATGATCACAGGCTGGGTCCTTCTAAGCTAGTTTGCCACCTGGGTCCAATTTTTATGAGGTGCTGTTGGAGTTTAAAACTTACAGGCCAGTTGAAAAAAAATGACTTGCTATTTACTTTGGATGATTGAAATCTGTTGAAATCCAAACCACCTTGGTAGGTGCAGTTGACAGGAAGTTAGACTTGCAAAAGGCTTTGGGCACTCAACTTGTCAGGTTCTCAAATGTATGATGCTATCTCTTTAGGTGCCTCAAATTAATTATGACAGTAGTGATTGGTCAGGTCCAACCCATGGACCACAATTGACCTTTGGAGGCAGGTCTGATGTGGGCATGCATGATTGAGGTCAAAGATCCAAGGAATCAGATCAGATTTTTTGGCATCTATGGATCCAGGTTTCAAAATCTAAACTTTAGTGGGCTTGATGATTTTCCCAGCCAAAGAAAAAAAATGTTTTGCTTTTTTTTTCTGGTGGGCCATTAGGCCCTGGAATTTTCCTCTGGTTCATAGTGTTTTAGGTAAGGGCATGGTCATGCAATTACACAACATATCACCAGTTTTGATCTCATACACATGTAGATTTCATCACCAGTGGGGCTGTTATTGAGCCCCAAAACACTTGATTCAACCATGACAAATTCATTGTATTGAGTATAGTGTTACTTCACCCAATTACATAACATGGCCCCAGTTTTACCATGATGGAAGCAAGAGCAGATTTCATCATCATTGGGGCTGATGCTGAGCCCTAAAACATTACACTATCTTCACTATTTAGTATTTAATGTGGCCCATTCTTGGCTGTATTGATCAAGTGGAGGGTCAATGTTTCAATGCATTCAATACTGATAAAATAGAGTATGTGTTTAGGGGGAGGGGGAAATGGAGCTTGTGAAGTATGGTAGACAAGATGGATTGGACGCCATGAGCTCCCCCTTTATGAGGGGCTCATTGGGTACATGTATATGAGGGCAGAGTGAAGCCACTACCTTTTTTTGAAAAAAAAAACTCTCCAGCAAAAGCTGACAAGTCGTTTAGATGAATACCCTTCTACTTTTGAAGTGGTTATAAGACACTACATACATAGTTGTGTTGCACCAACAGGTGGAACCCCAGAGACTTAAGTGTCGTGTTCCAATTTGATTGTTTTGAATTGAACACAAAACCAAAACAACCACTATCAAAACACAAACAAATCAATCAAAAAGAAAATGGGCCATCATCATCTCAACAGGTTATAAATATTGACACAAAGACAAAACAACAACACCATGAGGATCTAAAAAAAGAGAATCTATGTATTTTTTTTTTGAGAAAAAAGACATCAAAACAGGAAAGAGAGAGAGATTTTTTTTGAAACAAAAAAGAAGAAAGATCAGCAGTACAAGGTTCACCATTAACTTTCATAAACTGAAACCAAAAAAAGTTACCTAAACCTTAAGAGAGGGAGGAGAAGGGGAGTGAAGAAAGATATGCACCCCACTCCCCTTTCACTTTTCCCATCCCCAATCCTTATCTCCTATTCAGAGATAGTTGTGTGAAGCTGTTGATTTAAATTAGATGGTTAAGGAGGGAGGAAGAAAAAGAGATGAGAGTGGTCAGTTCATTGGCGATGTAAGGCAATCTACTAGAGTCCACACTGCCTCGGCCGCTCTTCGGACCTCCTCCCATCTCTTCAACTCCCCAACGAAAATGACGAATAGGTAAGATCGACAGAACCATAATCACAACTACGATCGCCCGCATAACATCCATCTCCCCTTTTTTCTTTTTTTGTGGTTCATTTTTTTCGTGTTTTTTTCGTGTTTTTTTCGTGTTTTTTTTCCGAGTTGATAGAAGTGACTGAGCTGAAGATGAAGAGGATGTAAGCGATAATGATACGACGTGTGAGGAGGGATGAAGCAAGTTTTGGGCTGGATGAGTTGTAAGATACCGAGGTGACTAGGCCGAGCCGACCATGAATGAAGAGCTGCGCCGGAATTCGTTTTGTTTTGTTCGATTTTGTTGCTGTCGTCGAGTCAAGGCGGGGACATGACGTGAAGAGACGTGCAAATTTTAGTGACCGAGAATAGATGGTCAGGTGAGATAAGATCGACGAGAACACCGAGAGTTGTTGTTGTTGTTGAAGAAGAGGGCGGCCAATGTGCATCGGAGAGAGCTAGAAGACTTGTTGTGAGAGAGGCTCAGGCGAGAAACAGAGAGAAGATAGATTTGAAGGTCGACAGGAGACAATAAAGGGTGAACGAGAAAGAGAGGTCGATAAGAAAGAAAAGAGGAAGACGAGTAATATACTTGAAAAATGAGGGCGACGATGGATGACTGTCCGAGATTTTACAATGAACGTCCCTTCATATGATGTACCATAAGCAGTGCGAAACAAGATTAGCATCGATCGAAGGGAGCATAATAAAGAGCGAGGGTGTAGGGTCTAGACCGTCCTCGGTTTCTTGACGTCCAGGAAGACTATCAATAGAGGAAGATAGAGGAGGATGTCAGGGCCCGAGTAAGAGGAGGAGTTTGGATTCAAAAAAAGAGAAAGAACTGACGAGATTCGTGAGAGGATGAAGATTCAATAACCGATCGACACGAGGGATCGTCCACAAAAAGTCCATCGACCTGGGCATGACTACGCTTAGAACCGATGAGCGGAGGGAAGATGTGGTCTGAAGGAGGCAAAGAGGAGACGAGATTGGTTTCAGGACTGTCGGAAGGATGGAGGGTGTGATGAGTAGCAGGATAGGAAGCTTCAACAGTATCCGAGTCAGGTTCCTTAAGCTGATCGGTCTGCTCGTCGTCCTGAAACCCCTCGACTGGCTCGTCGACTTGATCTTCCGATAAATGCTCGAAGCCGTTGACGGTCTGGTCGGAGGACGAGCCAGAACCATCGACCTGCTCGAAGAATTCTGGATAGCCAACTGATTGGTCAACCAAGAGCTCGATCGATTCGGTGCCCGGGTCGTAATCCAAGTCGAGGTTGGGTTCGAGAACTATCTGCTCCTGCTCGATCATCTCGAGGGCTTCCTCATGTTCCACCTCCTCATGTTCCACCTCGTTGTACAAAACATTGGGGTCATTGGACGAGATGAGGAGTTCCTGGTGATCGACAGAAGAAGGAGCTACGAGATCCATGTTGAAACTCGCTTGAGATTCTAACGGGTTCTTTTCTAGGTCAATCGTTGGCACGAGTGGAGCCGAGTGGTCTGGATGAGGCTCCAGATGCTGATCCTCATCACCATTTGATTCTTCTACTTCAGATCCCGCGAGGTTGGCCTGATCATTTACTCTTACTTTCGACTCGGCTCCAATCAGCTGATCGTGACTCGCAGGCTCTAATCCGACTATCTCACCATCACCTTCCAACTCGTCAAGCTCCAGTTGATCATCAACAACAACACCATCATCGTCGTCATTAGCGCCAGCAGCAACATCAACCTCAACCTCATTTTCGATTTCTTCCAACTCGCCCCCGACCAGATGATCGACAACCAGAGAAGTCACTTCTAGCTCGCCCCCCGACAGATGACCGTCGTCAATAGCTTCTAAATCGCACCCACCCTGCTCCCTCTCGACGTCCACTTCTTCTTCTTCTTCTTCTTCTTCTTCAACCCTCTCCAGAGCATCATTCTCATCATAATCGTCATCAGCAGTAGCAGTAGCGGTTAGACCACTCTCGAGGTGATCGGTGCCCGGAGCTGATTCCAATTCGAGCTGATGATCCTCCTTGGCAGAACTAGGAGGGGCTCCGAGGAGGAGAGAAGAGGAAGGTGAGTCGGAGGGGTCGATTGGGAGAGAGACAGTTGCAGTTGTTGTCGTTGTCGTAGCGGAATGTTGCTCATTTTGGTTATCAATAGGGACTAGTTCGGATGACTGTTCTTGAGGAGCCTGATTGCCTAGTAGTTCAGGCTCAGCCTCTGAAATCTCGTTAGCCTCTGAACCCTCATGAGCCTCTTGAAGCTCCGAATCCACGGGTGTCTCTTGAACCTCTGAGCACTCTGGCGCCTCTTGAAGCTCCGATTCCAATGGCGCCTCCTGAAGCTCTGAATCTACTATCGGCTCTTCTTGAAGCTCCGAATCCACTGGAGCCTCGTGAGCGTCCTCTGGCGCCTCTTGAACTTCCGAATCCACTATTGCTTCTGTATCCCCTATAGTCTCTGGATTGGTGCTAGGTTGATCGATGGGTTCTTTGATCTCTTCTGGTTCATGAGTTGATGGACCAGATGATTGATGATGATCGAGTTCGACTGCACTGAGTTCGTCTTGGCTGAGAATTGGCTCTGTGATGATGAGATGAGGAATGTGATTGTTAGTTAGGACTGTTGAGCTGAGATTGATATGATTTTTTCTCCACTGATTTACCTAGTTCAGCCACGTAGTTTGCTAGGATATTGAATCGATGGACCAGTCTTGGTTGTTTCTCTAATGAGATCATCAATCGATCTGGTAGCCTTGCGCCGATATGAAGTCGATCGATATCGAATAGTGAGAGTTCTTTACTGTAGATGTTATCCTATTCCCCCCCCCAAAGTTGATATATCAGATTAGATATTAGATATTAGACGATCTAGTCGACTTACTTCGGGTACTTTGATCTCCAAGTTGGTGAAGTGGAGTATGAATTCGTTCTTGTGTTGGTCGTGTAAGTTTGGGAAGATCTGATGTAATCCTTGGCTGATGAAGTTGGATAGTGGTCCGTAGTATAGTTCTTGATAGTCTGGTTCACTGAGTAGGATGGTCTGTTCTTCGATCTTTGGTTGATCTTCTTGAATCGGTTGGATGGCTTGGAACAGACTGTACTCGCATCCTTCGCAGATCAATCTGATTCCTCCTGGCGGTGCTGGTGGTATTCGTTCTAGTAGTTCGGTGTTTAGTCTGGGTTGGATGTTAGTATTATCCTGTTGTAAGTCCCACTCGTCCATCATTGTTGGTGGTTGGTTGGTTGTTGGTTGGTTTTATCTTGTTTCTTTGGTTTTTTTGGGTTTGGAGTAGTATGTCACTGCTGCTGCGTGCTGCGTCTTCACCCCCTC